TGAATCTGTTTTATACTTCAGGAGAAAATGGACCGAAGCCAACAGAGGCTTTTTTTTGTTTGTGCTGACTTTAATACTGCTGCCTGCACAAAACAACATTAAAGAAGTTTTTTAGTGTTAAAAGATGAAGGCACATCTCCTTCCCCCTCTCTTCAGGTGAGGAACATCTGCCCAGTGTAGCTGAGAGAGGGGCTTCCCCCAGCCACGTAGCAGGCACTGCACTTGGGCACTGACCTCTGGCTGTGAGGCAGCCCAGGACTGACAGCTGAATTGTAAAGAACTCGTATTTATTTTCTGCCATCTTCCTCAGTACACCTGAAACTCCCAGCCTGACAGACCTGCCAGACCCTTAATGATATTCCGTGTCTGAGGAAGGCCCGTCTCCCGGACACCGAGTGAACCCAAGCCTGGCGTAATAAAACCCTACAGCAATAAAATATTAAACACTCCTCCGAGCATTTAATCCACCCAAACCACTTCAGGCTTTTACAAGGTATTTGTCACCTCCACACCTGTGCACTGGGAGCAGCTGTCCTGACAGAAACAGAACCTGCCAGAAAACACGATGTCTCGCTTTGCTGTTCAATGACAGAGCTTATTCGGGGGGCATTTGATTGTGCTGCTGACATTAAGCTGTTGGAAAAAAACAACAGTGGCGAATTCCCAAGGTGGCATTGATTGTTTTCCTAAGTGCTAGCAGCAGGATATACAGTTAGGCTGTTACTAGATGAAGCACAGGGGAACTGCTTTATTTACATCATTTAATGTGGTGGAATAAAAGAGGAAGAGAAGGTGCATTGTGGCAGCGATGGCTTAAAGATTAGTGAGAGGCAAGGTTTGTAGAAACAGGTAGTAGCTTTTATTAGGCTACCTGATGCTGCTAGAAACAAGCTGTGAGGCTCAGAATCCCAAGAGAGATTGTTTTTGGAGCTCAGCATCATAATATGCCCTTGAACTAGAGCTTTCCAGTACCCAAGCAATGCAGGTAACTAGACCAGTAAATCTCAAATGATGAAGAAAAGGGTTTTTTCCCACCTTTCTTAGTCATGATTTGGATGCCTCGCTGTCCAGTCCTGTCCCCCTCATGTTCTGTCCTCTCCCAAACCCCACCTCCTGAATGTAACTCTTAATTAACACTGTTAATTAACTGTATTAACCCTGAATTACTGAATGTAACTGAATTAATCACTGTTAATTTCCACCTCCAAAACAAACTCTAGCAACGTGAGTTCCAGCAATGCTATCCCCAACCCTGTGCACCAGTGACAGCCCCAAACCTGTCACTCAGCACACAGCAGGGTCTACCCTCTACCATCACATTCTCCCCTTTTTCCCCTACCCCAAACCTCTGTGCTTCTACTTCCCGCTCTCACACGGGAGAACCTCTCCCTGGAAGTCATAAATCACTTTGGATTTGTCCTGGCACGGAGACCAGGGCGGGAGAATTTCGCAGGTAGCAATTAATTGTTGTCACTTGCCCTCAGAACACCCTCTCCAGGTCCAGGAATGGCAGCAGCTCCAAGGATGCACCACTGCCACTGTGATTTTGTGCGCTGATCCATCTTCCTGGGGCTGGTGTGCATCTGCACAGGGACAGCCCACGGCTGATTCACCAGCGTGGACACAAGGCTTCTCCTCAGGGACAAACCACTGCTCTTCCCAATTGCAGCACACTGAGTATTCCCAGGAACCTTTTTCTCCATGGTTGAGCAGTAGCTGCTTTCATTCCAGATCTGAAATGTGCAGCTTGCTCAGAGGACCACACTTCAGAAGGAGGAGGAATGCCTAATAACTGTTGATATCAACGATGTGTTGGGAATTAAGGGGCTGGAAGTCAGGGAAGGGAACAAAACAAATATAGAAAACAATCTGCTGTGTGCAGATTGACTTAAAACCAAGGATGAAATGGAGGAGGTGAAGGTCTCAGGAATCTGATGCTCTTATGTTGTAATGAAATCAGGCTCCCTCTGCAAGGCAGAAAATGGTGGGTGAAGGATCATTAAGATGAGAGGATCTGTATCTCTGCAGAGAATCATGGCCAACGAGGTGAGAGTGCCTGGAGCACTGGGGGAGAACAGCTCCTCTGATCCTGATCACATTATATTTATTAATTAGACTGAACAGCTTAGGGATGTGAATGTGGACGAGGCTCCAAAACTTCCTTACGAAGAGCCTGGAAGTAAATGGAAAGCAAAATAAAATGCAGCACGGATGTAGCAAAAAAAAAAAAAATATGTCTGGGTTTTGTTTGGTAACATTTGCTAGAAGACAAAAGTTGATAAAATCTAATCCAGTTGGACCTTATTAAAGCATCTGACACAGCAGTGGGAAATCAAGAGAGACGCTGAAGGGATGGAGAAGAGTAACAGCAGTGAAATGCAGAGGCAGAATCTGTGAGTGAGTTCAACAACAAAAGGCTATACTGGAAGGAAAATTCTCGTGTTCCTATTTCCAGACAGTGATTTCTGCCGTTGCTGGAGCCAAGGATTTCTCTGGGGTCCCATCTTGGTACCCTCAGGAATGTAACAGTAAAGGAGGAACTGCAGCAAGGAAATTTGCCTTGGGCACCCAGCTGGTCGATGGACTGTCAGAGGTTGAGTCCCACAGTGCAGGGAAGCTGGTGATGCTGGGGCCTGGAATAATGGAATTGCAATGCATTCAACTCATCCAGGGAAGGTCTTTCACGGTTTTGAGACTCTCTTACCCCCTGCTATGATAACCTGCAGCAAGTGCACTCGGAGTGCTCGGCAGTGCTGAGGCTTCCTCTGGGATCCTCTGTCCGGTTTTGGGCAACAAACCTGAAGAGAGAGGTGAAACAGCCAAAAACAGCCAGAGGAGGGAAACGAGGCTGGGGAGAAACGTAACGAGCTGCCACGGGTTGGAAGAATAGGAGGTGATTAAGCTGAGCAAGAGAGGTTCCAGAGGTCAGAGGGTAACAGTCCTTAAGCCAGGAAAGGGCTGCCTGCTTTAAAGGAAAGCAGCAGCCTGTTTTTGCTCTGCCTGCTGCCGAAGGGAAAGGCAATAATGGACCAGACTTAGCCTGCAGTGGGGAGGTTTAGTTTAAGCTTCGTGAAAACCTGTTTTAATGAAAATTATAATGAAGTACCGGGCTAGATTGCTAAGGGCACTGCAGAATAGCCACCTCTGGAAGCTTTTATTGCACAAAGGTCTCTCAGGAATAATTTTGGCGTATTTATTCATTAAGAAGAAAAATGAAGTTGTTAATAGGTATCACCTTTTCTGGAGTGGACTCCGCTCACACTGTCTTCTCCTCCTGATTGTCCTCTTTGGCCCTACATGGACCAGATCCCACCAGTGAAAGGAACTGAACACAGCACAGAAGGCACCAGGTGGACCTGGAAAGGCTCCACTTCCATTTGACACTTGCAGGAATGAATCTGCACGTGCCCAAAGTGCAGAGCAAAGGGGAACGAGCCAGACACCTTCAGTTTTGTTTATGGAGCAGTGCTGCTTATTTCCCAAATAATTTCTCCTGTTTGTAAGCAGGAAAAAAACCCTTTAAATTACAGGATACAATATTTGAAAGTTTACTGCTTCAGGCAGCTGCTTTTTGCCCCTAGGTGGGACCCTCTTGTCAAGCTACTCAGGGTTTATTTAATGCACAAAGCTTAGGCAGGCCAGCTCTGTTTAAAATGCAAGCTTTCATTTAAGTTCTCTTGAAGATATGGTGTCCTAAGACATCAGGAGGAATTTCTTCATGGAAGTCTTCTCATATCTTCTTTCGTGTGTACAACCAGATGAGCTTGTTCAGAGTTGCATCTTATAAAGTGAAGAATTTGGTACTGAACTTTCAAGGGGTAATAATTCAAGGAATTTACTGGAGAACCACAGATCACATCAAAAACTCCCTATGGAATATTTAAAACAGTCAGCCAAGCTCTAGAACAAGAATGTTGTTCTCCATTAAACACCTCAAATTGAATTATGTTCCTGGTTCAGTCAAAGGAAAAATTCCATTGATTACTGTAGATCTGGAGTGACACCTTATTAATTGGTTACAAAATTCTATTAAAGTATTACTACCATTGAATTATTTGGGTCATTTATTAAATCAATTTTTATGGAATGACTTATTTTTCATCAGGCTTCATTTCTTTACATTGTTGCTTAGCCTGTTTTAATGGGAACTGTGAGAAAATACTATCGTTGTTTATGCTCCTTCTGCCTCTAAACTATGCTGGTGTGAGTGGATCTCACCAAAAATCTGATTGTAACAAAAGACCCTTATTTAAAAAACATACATATTTCACAGTCCTGCAGCAAGCAACCAACACAATGTTTGTGGTCTGTGTGATAGTGGAAAATGTTGTAAAACCACGAGGAGATTGCAAGGCAATACTGCTGCTTCTAAAAAGAAGGTTGTGAATGAGTTTGACCTATATGGGTTACAAAAGAAATATTAGCTTTCTCTGAAAGGATGGTAATTAGGACAAACATAGAGAGCTATGTTTATTCTCTGAAACATGGGATATTTTTTCATATATTTCAGCTTACCTTCCTCTGCTGAATAAATTCTCCATGCAACCTTCCATTAAGCCTACAGTAAATCAATCCCTTACTGAATGCTTTTCTTTAAACCATTATTATCTTGTCTTTATTCACTGTTATCCCTGCCTTCCCAGGCAGAGAAAAAAAAAAAACCAAAACCAACAGCTGCTTTCCTCTGCTCTTCTTTGCAATAGGCCAGGATTTCATATCACGGTGTAATTTTAAGCCCTTTATTACTGCTTAACACATAAAATGCGCCCCAAAGCCAAAGCAGAGCCACGCAACCCAAAAGCCGTTCCGAGTCACCATTGGAACGGCATTAAAAATTCACCTTCCCGTGCACTAAAACTGTCCTGGCTGCAGCACCAGCCCCAGCAGAGCACACTGAGGCTCCAAACCACGGCCCCAGGAGCAGCAGCCCGTGGGGGCAGAGAGGCAAAGGCAGGTTTCCATCCACCCGGGCAGACGGCGATGCAGAAGGAGGTACACACCTAGACATACTGACTTTTGGAGTAGGATCCCTCGGTCCTGCTGTGCGGGCGCTGCCCGTGAGGCGGTGGGTGAGGTGGGGGTGAGTATCTGTAGCTCCCGGGGTTCTCAGAGCAGCGGGAAGAGCAGCAGAACACGGACCCAGCGGCCACGAGGCAGAAGGAGGCCGCCCAGCCCAGGTACAGGGCCTCTCCAAGCTCCCTCTTCTGAGCAACATTGACCAGCGGGTTGTAGAAGTCGCTGATGATGGAGTTGGCGACCCAGCAGAGCGGGACGAGCTCGACGAGGCCCGAGAGGACGAAGAGGAGCCCAGCAGCCAACAGGATGCAACCTTTGGCTTGCCAGGGCCTCTGTGGGCACCGCGTGCACCTCATCCCGACCGTGGCCAGCACGAGGGCGAGGAGGGACAGCCCCGAGCCGGCACACATCAGCCCCCGGGACGCCTGCAGGTCCGGCGAGAGAGCCAGCACCGAGTCGTAGGCCTTGCACTGCATCCTGATGTTGGCTTGCCTGACGCAGTGCATCCACAGCCCCTCCCAGATGGTCTCGAACACGACGATGTTGTGCTCGATGAAGGCAGACACCCTCCACTGGGGCATGGCCGTGACGGTGAACGTCCCCACCGTGCCGACGCCCCCGGCGAGCAGCCCGGCGGCCTGCAGAGCCCCGGCGCCCATCCCGCCTGCACAGCTCAGCAGGCAAAACAAAAATAAAACCAAGGGCAGCTTCTTCAAAAAGCCGCTGTCCCAGAGGTTCCAGAGCCGGGGCCGCACAATCTTAAATCAGCTTAAACCTGGCACGGAACTCCCTGGGACTTGGCTGCGCCTCCATGGCCTTTGTGAATTCCCCCCCGGCACCGCAGCTCGCAGAGGCAAACTGAGCAATCGAGTGGAACAACTTTGCTGAGCCAGGGGAAGGACAGGGGGGGTGTAAACCAGCAGGAGCCACTTAGGATAAAGGCACCTTTCTGAGGCAAATGATTTGCATGGAAGTTGCTCATTTAAAGAAATAAATAAATAACTAAATAACTCAATAAATAACCCCCAAGCCCTGCCCTTGAGCCTGGCTGTGTTCTGCAGGTTTGCCCGTGATGAGGAAATGGACCAGACTCTGCAGGGAGATTTGGGGGTGAGACTGGTGCAGTTACTGGGGCTGCTGCGCTGGAAAAGCAGGAATACTCTGCCTTGGCTGGGTGGCAGAGTTCCAGGAGGAAGGCAGAGCCTGCTCCCTGCCACTGGGCCTCTGCTCCCGAAAGCACTTTTGTCCCAAAGCTCTGGGGAGAGCCCTGTGGTGACAGGATCCAGCAACAAAGCAAACCCAAAGGATAAAGAGAAAGTAACTCTAAACCTGAAAGAGTTCTGCAAAGGACAGCCAAAGCTGCAAAAGAGCATTTAAAGGGGAGAAAAAGGACTCAGTCCTGCTAATACCATATACAGCCCTATACATTTCTCTTGCTCCACAGTATTTTGGGAATAGACAGGCTTCCAGAGGTATCCACATGCTCAAAAGATTGCACATTCAGGTCTACAGAATGGGGATTTAACTATGGAACAAGTTGTTTCCCTGTGCAAAAGTGAGCCAAGGAATTAGCCTGTGTTGGAGTCCAGTGCAAGGGGAAGCATCAGCACTCCAAGGCCTGTTAGAGCTATGCCTGTACCAGCAAACACTTTAGAAAAACATCATTTTAATGAAGCAAAAATAATTAAACTTAAAAATTATGGAGAGCAGTTTCATTCAAGATTTCTTGTGTGATGTGACCAGTGGACAATCCTGAAAAATGTCGGGTGAATGAATTTGTGAAAATCGGAACAATAGAAAACACAAAAAATCTAGGAAAAAAAAAAAAAAAAAAAAACAGACATTGTCGTTTTTACAAATCCTGATAGCTACAACATATGCATGAAATATTCAGCCTGATCTCTTCATGTGCCCTAACACAGAAAAAAAAAAAAATCAGGCATTAATCAGGATTTTTTTTGTTGTTGTAAAATAGTACTCCATATGTGAAGACAAAACCTGATTTGTTACGCTGGAAAAGATCAGTTTGGGATATAACTACCTAGATACTGAAATAGAGGCCTGCTGCTGCTCATCTGAACTTCCTTGCCTCTGGTTTTCTCCCTGCCATTTATACCTCCCCAAAACCAGAAAGTGAATGCAGAAGAAGCAGAGCGGTGCAGTGCTAAATATACCCCCTCGCTGGCATACCAGAGACAAAAAGATAAAAGCCCCATTTACATGGAATATTTTATGCTCCCCAAGTGTGTTTCTGCGTGCAAAACTGTGGTTAGGAGGGAAGGCAAAGTAAGAAGCACTTCACAAACCTTTCCATCCCCAGTTTGGCTTTCAAATCCACTGGTTTCCCCAACCTCTGCAGCAGGCTGCTGCTTGTAAAAAACATGGTAAAACATATAATAATGTAATTATCGTGGCCTGGCTTTGCAGCCCCGTGGTTGCCACTCAAACATCAAAGGAAAAGCTCCCAGCCTACAGGAGAACAAATAAACAAGTGCTTTAATAATATATCAGCAAGTAAACACAAATGTGGTACAAGCAGCAGGACTGATTTTTCTTAGAGACTAGTGAAGTTCTAATTTACAGGACATGGAAAATAATTAGCTGAGCAAATATAATTTAACCACGTTATTGATTAATTTACAAACCCATTAAAGCTCCCATATAAATTCATGGTAAGATTGTGTCTGCGTCAAGGATTCAGTATTTGCACATTCTTAGAAGGATTAAATTTAAGTGCCTTATCTTGCTTAAAACCGTTTTCAGAAGGAAATGTGGGGAAATCTTATTTAGCATTATGGATTGCATCTGCTTGTTTTCAATTAAGACACAACTCTTTTGTGAGGGGGCAAGTCAAGAATTCCATTATTCGTTCTGTGTATTCAAACGTCATTTCATCACAGGGAAATATCAGAAATGCCTGTAACATAGTTCATTGTCAGCCACAGGATCCTATTGTTTTGCTATAAAACAAATAAGTACATACATAATTTAACTTTTTTCTTTCACTTTTCTTTTCTTTCTCTTTTCTTTTTTCTTTTTTTCTTTTTTCTCTTCTCTTCTCTTCTCTTCTCTTCTCTTCTCTTCTCTTCTCTTCTCTTCTCTTCTCTTCTCTTCTCTTCTCTTCTCTTCTCTTCTCTTCTCTTCTCTTCTCTTCTCTTCTCTTCTCTTCTCTTCCCTCTTCCCTCTTCCCTTTTCCCTTTTTTCCTTTTTTCCTTTTTTCCTTTTTTCCTTTCTGCCCCTAAAGGCATTTTGGAATAAAACACACCAGGAAAATACATTTTCAGCACAATGTCCTTCCTGAGCATGAAGCAATTCTTAATTTCAGAGTTATGAGGTGCCAACAGCAACCACTGATGCTGAGGGGGAGGTGGGGAGAGGGGGAAGAAGCGGTTGCTTAACACCTCCAAAAATCTCACCCTGCATGAGTAGCAGAGCGAAAAGAACCCTGATTATCGATGCAGCTCTGGAAAAGCAGAGGAGTGTTGATGTCAGACGAGTTGTTCAGCATTTTCTGCCCCAGAAGGCTGTTATTACTGTGTCAGTGATGTGCACTCTCCAGGCTCCCCTCAGGTACACCATAACCTGGCACTTACTTTTCTCCAAGGTCCCGTACCTAACGCAGCAGAACACGAAAAGCCAGTTCCACGTATCTGGTGCAGGCAGGAAGAGTCACAAACACTCATAACCAGCTCCACTGGAGAGCCAGTTCTGCTCCACTGTGGCAGCTTTCACTCCTGTTCTTTCTCTCCCCACTGACCATTGTCCAGATGGCAAAAGAGGCAGTGACAGAAATTGCAAAAAGTAACAGTCCTTGGCTGGTCATTGCCTAATATCCCACATAACTTTACACTTTTGCTTCTCTTGCTGCTCAAGCTTTAAATCCCGCACCCCCCCTTGCAAGAGAGATGACAATGAGATGATGTTCCCCTTGGATTAACACCCTGTGCAGAAATTTCAGTTTCCCCCGCTTTTAACCTCTGTTTGTTTTGGGAGGTGTTAATGCAGGAAATTTGCCTTGCTTGGAACTGGGACACACAGTTCAAAAATAGGATTTTTTGAAGATACCCAGGGGCTAAAGAGGCAACAACTTCCTAGGGACTCTGGCTCTGTACACCTTGAGAGGCAGCTGGAGCCTAGGAGGGAGAAAAAGAACTGCCAGAGCTCAAGGAGCCTTTGGACAACGCTCTCAGGCACAAGGCGGGATTGTTGGGGTGCCCTGTGCAGGCCAGGAGTTAAACTCACTAATCCTTGTGGGTCCCTTCCACTCTGTGGTATTTTGTGGTTCCATAATTCCATGATTCTAAGGGATGGAGAGGTCACCACGGGGTGGCTTGAAAAATGGACTACATGAATTTCATCAGGAACCATTCTGCACCAGGACAGGCTCACCCTGAGGAGGTTATAGGACATTTCTAGCCCTGGATTCAGGCTTTTGATGTGTGGGAGCTCCCTGTGTGCTGGAAAGGGTCACAGCAGGAACATCTGACTTCACATGCCATGGAACCCACCACCCCTCCCCTGAACTGAGCAGGAACAGGTAGTATTTTGTGTGAAGTCACTTTTTTCCCCTCATGCAGAAAGACAGGTGAACATTAATATGAAGGTCTGAGATTAATCAGTTTCTTCATTGTTTCAGAAGAGTTTTCATGGTTCGTGTGCTGGAAAGAAAATCTACCTCCCGGTTTATCCCTCTGGAGTGGCTGCCTCGGGAACATCCTCTAGCAGCTCCTGCAATTAGCCAAACAATTAACAGGTGCCAGACCTCCTTTAAAATGAAATGTTGCTTAAGCTGATTTGATGAGAAGTTTTACATCTCTGGACAAATCCTATCATTTGTGGCACTTCTGCTCCAACCTACTGGAGGCTCCATCACCACATTACATTTCATTTTCTTTTCTAAAAAGTCCCCAGGCTTTTGTTTTTATCATTCCTGACATTCCTGCTGTGATGGGCTGCCCACCCTGAATCATAAGACTTTCACAAAGGCGACAGGATAGGCCATTAAAGATAAAAACAACTGGGCAGTGCTTGTCTTCTGTTATACCCCAGGTGCCTCAAGGACTCCAGCAGGATTTCATAGGTGGGAATTAAAGCAAAACTTGAGTGTTACCTGCTTGCCTAGAACCTGCATTGAGAGTTTAGCAGAGAACATGCTCAGAGGAGATAAGGGCTGTTTTCAATTCAATTAACAATGTTTAATCTTCTGGTGCAATAAGATCATTGTGGTGATAATGTTCATGTCGTAGAAATAATACTCTGGCATTTTTGAGGTGCAATAGTAAATTTGCAGTTAAGTTTTAGTAAACGAAGGGGAAGGAATGAAAGGGGGACTCAGCCAAGCAAACCCAGAAATTCAAAACCTGTGCTGAGTTGGAACCAGACTGAAGGGCGGGGTGTTGTTTCTTTAGCACAGCAGTTAATCTGACCCACTGAAGGGACTTTCTTTAGCTCTAACCCCTTCTCTTCCCTCCTCTGCAGCGTCCCAAATAATCCTTAGCTAAATATTTTATTCTGAGACGGTGCTGCCTCTTATCTCGTTACACCATGGTTTTGTATTTGATTTTAATCTTCTTCTATTTAGCTCGTACCAGCCTCTGGCCTTTTCACATTTAAGGATTTTCCGTCTGCAGACATTTCCCATTAGGAGGAGGGGGAAAAC